TTGTGCAAACATATTTGCCTTGTGAGGTTTTTCTTGTAAGTTTGCAAATTTGTATTTCTCTTTGAGAAAAGAGTGTTCTCAAGAATTGGGGTATATTCTTGAGGGAGTTGTAAGGTTATCTCTTTGGCCTCAAAAGAAAGAACAAATTAGTGAATTTGTTGGAAAATCCTTAGTGTGGATAGCTAAGGTAGTGGACGTAGACTTTGGTTGATAAAGTCGAACCACTCTAAATCGATGTGCAATTTCTTTCAATTTTATGCAAAAGCTTCCACCTAAATTTTTATAGCCAATTCACCCCCTCTTGGCCGATTCAGTCAATCGATTAACTCAACAATTTCTTATATTTGGAATTCATGGTCTCAAATTCCAAATACAACTCATTATAAGCAACTTATAACTCATCATAAGCAACTTGTAACTCATCAAAAGAATAAGAATCTAATTCATTTGAGTTAGAAGTCTCCATTGAATCTTCTTGGATGGCCATGAGGTTTAGGTTGACTACTTCATCTTTATCATTGGAGTCATCTTCATCACTTCAAGCTATCAGAAATGTTTTTTTGTTGCTTGATCCCTTCTTCTTTAGGAGGGTTCATTCATACTTGGCATGCCTCGTTCTTTGACAATTGAAGCACACCGAGGAACTCTTCTTCTTGCTTGATTCATGCTTCACTTCCTTGGAAGTCATGAATCTTTTGAATCTTTTAAAGAGCTTGGTTATCTCTTCTTCCTCATCATCGTCTCCATCCACCTCTTCATTTTAATCTTGATAGCTCTCATTAGTGTATTTGAAGGCAATGCCTACCTCTTTCTTCTTGTTGTTTTGCTTCTCTTAATCTTCTTCCTCTTCCTTCACCATCAAATCATAAGTGAGAAGATAACCAATCAGCTCATCGAGAGTGAGAGACTTTAGATTCTTATCCTCAATGATCGATGTCTTCTTCGATTACCAAGACTTTGGAAGAGAGTAGATCATCTTCCTCACAAGCTTCTCATTAGGGATTACATCTCCAAATCTCTTTAGACCGTTGACAATCACGGAAAATCTATCCGTCATAGCTTTGATATCTTCTTCAATTTCATATTAAAATTTTCATAGCTATGATTGAGAAAGCTTATCTTGGTTTCCTTCAGTTCATGAGTAACTTGGAGCTTATCCCATATCTCATTGGCATTGGAACAAGATGAGACTCTTCCATATTCATCCAAGCCCAATGCACAAAAGAGAATGTGTATAGCCTTAGCATTAAGTTGGAACTTCTTTTTCTCTCAATCATTCCAATCGTCCATCTCGCCGGTTGGAATGGTGTATCCTTTCATGATAGAGTTTCAAGCTCCTAGATCATTTGCTTGAATGAAGAGCACCATCATGTTCTTCCAATAGGCATAATTTGTTCCATTAAAGTAGGATGGCTTATTGACCGGTTGAGAATCTTCAAGGTAGTAAGAGTCAAAGGTCGAAGTCATATTCTTGTCAATTGCATCAGAAATTGGTAAAGTTTCTTCTAAGATCGTCTCAAGGTTGTTAAACATTCTAATGAGTCAAGCTCTGATATCAATTGTTAGGATTTTCGAAGCTCGATTTGAACAACCGAAATTTGCACAAAGGGGTGAATTGGCAAAAATTTGTTTAGGGAGTAAGGAGAGTAAAAGATAGAAAAATTGGCACAACGATTTATAATAGTTTGACTTCTCAACTAAGTCTACCTCCACTACCTTAGCTCCTCACTAAGGATTTTCTAACAAATTCACTAATTTGTTCTTTCTTTTTCAAGGATAAAGAGATAACCTTTACACAACTCCCTAGTTTTTCAAAGGCTTAGCTAGAACCAAAACTCCTTTACATGGAAAAGAAACATAAACAAAGAAAACCTCTAAGAAGGAAGGTGTTTACAAAATTTAACTCACAAGAACAAAATATTTACAAGAGAAAGTAAAATAGGAATAAAAAACTCTTCTCTTGTGTTTGATTGCTTGGATAGGTGTTCTAACCCTTCTTCAAGTATCTTGAACTTGTATTTATATGTTGGAATGAGTTTGTGGTCGTTTCTAGCCGTTGGGAATGTTTTCTCTTCAAAATAAAATTGTCCAGTACAGAGGGTATCGATACTCCTATATTGAGTATCGGTATTACCTTTGTTATTTTTAAATAAAACTAGTTGTTACTAACCATTGGGCCTGACGGTGTCGATACTAAGCTATGGTATCGATATTACTATATAAAGTAGTATCGGTACCCCATTGGGTATCAATACCATTTTTGCATTCTGGAATTTGAGCAATGTTAGTAGTATCGATACTACCTAGTGAGTATCGATACTTGTCTTACCTAAGGTATCGGTACCATATGAACAGTGTCAGTACTGTTCATGAGGTATCGATACTGTAAGAACAATATCGGTACTTCTTGTTCAGAAACATATTTTGTGCTCAATTCCAAGTAAAATGGACTTTGAATTATTTTTGAAAACTTTGAATAAATTCAATTCTAGTCCAAAAATATTTTGCCATAAATTATTATATCAAAACATAGTTCAACAAAATTGACAACAATCTGAGTTGAATGTTAACCTGTTAACTGAGAGATGATAGCTTTTTTAGATCATGGGATCAAATTTCATCATATCTCAATTATCAGGTTAATATCCAACTCAGACCGCCGTCAAATTTTTAACGAAAAATGACGAGTTTGGAACATACTAAATAGGCGGTGACCATTTTGTAACTTTTGATAGTCGGAGGACTCAACAATGCAACACCCTATAGTCGAAGGATCATTTTGTAACTTTTAATAGTCGGATGACTCAACAAAGCAACACCCTATAGTCGAAGGACCATTTTGTAACTTTAAATAGTCGACGGACTCAACAAAGCATCATCCTATAGTATAGGGACCACTTGTATACTTTACCTTTTTTATAAAGAAAAGTTGAATGAAATACTATGGTAAAATATTATATTAGTTTTGGTTACATGAAACAAAATTTCTTCTATTAGAAAAATCATAGTTATAGAAATTCTTTTATCAAATAGTTAACGTCTCTTGTTCAATTTTTGAAACATTTTTTATTATTCTTTTATTTAAAGAATATATAAATATATTATTTTTATAATAATATTAACTATTTTTTAAATATGAATATGTAATAATTTTTAATTAAATTAATATAAATTCTTACAATATCAATTTAATCGAATATTTTATATATAAAATAATTAAAATCTATCACGTATATGTTTGAGTAAAGTATCGTTATTCAAACCTATTGCTCAATTGCATATATTAAAATATAAAGAGAATAATATTTTTCGACAAAAGTACTATTCAAGATCATCAATTTTGTGCACGAATTAAATGACTATAATAATTAAAGGAATACGTATTATTCTTTAAATTTTTAGGTTTAAGCACAAAACTGAACCAAAATACTCAAAACAAGAAATAAAAATGGACAAATACATAGTTCAGTAAAAGGCAGATATGCAAAAACTGGAATTACAACCTATCTGATCCAGATAGCACGAAAACGTTTCAATTCAACGACGAAAGTGCTGCTTCGGAGCCCTATGATTCCACATTTCTGGAAAACATTTGTTTTACCTGTGCATACGGCAATAAACTCCATTTTCATTCAAGCAATTAAGAATCCAACAACACGAACGAGTTACGAAAATAATGAAGTTCATTCACCTTGGCAAGAAGATCGCAGTTGGATTTCCAGGAGATGGAGGATTCTGCCTTAGCAGGGATGCAAGAGAACCGGCTTTAACGTCGGCGTCAGGGTCAGCGAACAATAGTACTTCTACCTCTTCAAGGCCAAGTTGTCTTTTGATCAAGTCCAAGTTTTCTCTCAGGACCTCGATCTCTCCAAAGGGAAGCTTCAAATCCAGGGCCTGGGAACCAATTTTAATAGCCTCGTCCTTCTTAAACCTCAAGAATGGCATACATAGTTTCTGGGTTCTTCTAAAGTCCGCCGCCTGGCCCACGGTGCTCTCCTGTAACGCTTTCATTATTTCCCCCTCTGATGCAAAAGTTTTGGTGACTGTCGAATTTGCTTTGAAGAATCTGCAGACACTCTGCTTGCCATCCATCAAATTGCTCGTTCACAAAGATTAGGCCCTTTAACTTGTCCTCGGTTAGTTGTGTAACTGGAGCCCCTTCTTATTTGGTTTCTTTGAGCCCAAAATCTGCTTATTGAGCAGCTTTCTCATCAAGACAATGGAATCCTGTAAAATACTTATTGGCACTCTTGAGTTTTAGATCTGGAGAATCTGCTGTGGGCCAACCTTTTACTACGAACCCGTCCTTCTTCAGAAGCTCTCTCCAAACAAACTCAGCATAGTGAGGGCAGAATGGAGTGATGAGCCTGGTCTGCACATCCATAAAACGCCATACGAGGTCACGGTTCATGCCCCCACTTCCACAAGAGAACCTATACTCGTCCTCGCGGTTTGAAGATCGTAAAAGCCAGTTTTGAGAGCCTCTCGAAACATGTAATCTCGATAATTCTTCTCAGTCATTTTGACAGCGATGTTTATCTCGTTTTCAAACACCCGTCAGCATATGTAGATGGCAGACCTGTCCTTAACGATGATTCTGCAGCCAGAATCTCTTCCATCCATGCAATCTCTTTAGTAAGCCGTAAGATTGCAGTATTGGCCGTCTCAAATACAAAGTTTGCATCATCTACGCCATCCCCTGCGTCAGCTAGAGAGAATCTTGTTGCATCAGCAGAGAATTCCTCAATTGCCTGGCGCAATGTCCTGAAATTTCCCGTAGACTTGGACATCTTCTCCGAATTGAGCATAATATGTCCATTGCACCTGAATCCACGAGGCCAGTGATCCTTGGATGATTGCTGTGTGGTTGCAAAATGTCAAATGGTTCTGGATAAGGTCTTTTCCAGACACTCTAAGATCGAATGGGTACCAGTATTCAATTCCTGCTTCATCTTATTAAGACAGAGGACAGGATATCTGAAGATTTGGATAAGGACCACCACAGAAGAGAAATTCCCAACCTCGTCAGTCATCTTTAACAAGATCAGCATTTTTCCATACATGTCTCCATTTTGTAAGAGATGAGCAACTGTGTAATAAGCCATGTAAATGGTTGAGTCAGATAATGACTCAACAAGGAATTCTTCATCCCAAGGAATGCGAGTCCCGAGGCCAAAGGATCGTGAGCAAGCCCATTGGTTCAGCCATCCTAAAGTATGTTCAAAGCCATGCCGTGTCTCATCAGAGTACAGATTCATGTTGGATAAGCACTCCTCGGACAATTTTTTCCATTCTGGTTCCCCATATGTGATATACCACTGATCGGTTAGAGCCACAACACACTCATCGCCAGACCTTGACATGACCTTCTTCTCAGGCTCACTAAAAATTATTGCTTGGCCCGTCTCAATCAGTTTGGTCCTTATCAGTGGCTTAGCTTCCTGCACCTTTCTTCCAGCATACTCTCCAACAGTCATGATTCCCTCGGTAAAACCTCTCAAGTACACCAGCCTCTTTGCCTCAGCAAGCTTGTCTTTCTCGTTCTGACTTTTAATTTTAAGATCCAGACAAACTTTTTCAGCAGCTCTGTCTCCAAATTCAGGAATGTCAATAATGGGTACAATCTCAAAGGGCAACACCCACTCGTCTTTCACCCCAAATTTTGCCCGAAAAGCAGGTTTTGCTTTCAGATCATGTAAGGCCATATAATCATCAGGAGCATCACTAGGAACACTAGTGACTATTCCAGTACCTTTGTCTGTTAGAATAGTAAGCATAGGAAGGGCATATATGATCTCGTTAAATGAGAGTGGAGACCTCACAGGAAGACCAATCAGATCATATCCAGTCAGCTCAACCAAGCAAGTAGGCTTGTCGGGAACACGGGAGAGCTTCTGATAAGCAAGGTTGAGTGCTGCTCTCTCAGTCAGAATAAACACCTCGTTGTCATTGATTTCAAAGGCTCCATATTTCCCATCAGGCAACACCCAGCAGTTTGTTTGCCCATACATGGTCTCAGGCCTCAATGTTGCAGCAGCCAAAAACACTTTCTTCCCTTCCAAAACACCTATTTTAGCCGGAAAAGGTGGCACCACTTCCATTTTAATAATGGTATACTCTTGCGGCTGAACTCCTTCACCAGTTGCCCTATCATGGTCGGCACAAGGCTGACCGTCCAAGGGAGAATATATAGTATACCTCATATCTTTAACAATCTTACCCATCGATTTCAACTTCCTCATCTGCCACTTAACAAAGGAATCAAAAAACGGATTCATATCCGTAGTCACAAACGACCTTCTCCAATCACAACCTAGGCCAAATGCCTTAAGATCTTCAACAGCCAATGGCGGAAAGAATTTAAGCCATTCATATGGGTTCTGAAACTTCGATATCTCACTATCTGAAAGTCCAAAACTCCTCATAATCTCCCACTGAAACATCTGTCCACTCGACTTAGACGCTGCTTTCGACTTTTTCCCTTTAAACTTATCAGGCACCACATTGGCACCTTCATTTGGGTCAGATTCTTCTTTCGAAATAGGTTCCTCTTCGACAACCTCGTGAGGAAAACGGGTGGATCACCAAATTTTTGGATTTCTCTAGCAAGTTTTATCGGCGGAAGCCTTGATCGGCATACCAGTACAGTGAAACGCGAATGGCAACACACATTCGCACCTCTTATCTTTGGTAAGCAGCAGCAAACTCGAGTTTCGAAAGAGAAAAGGCATGACCCAAATGCAAAAATCCATTCATGTAGGGAAAAGGAAAGTTCCCGAAGAATTTTTCACCTGGTTGAGGTTGTTTCTCGCCGGGCTCTGCCTTGAAAACATCTTTCTCATCCCACCAAACTCTAACCTTGGATTCGATTTCAAGCAGTTTGTCTCTCCTTGCAAAGCTCTTGCCTCCCTCTGTTGCCATATCGTGAAACTGATGGAATCTATCAAAAAACCCAAGACATAATTCAATTCATAGGAAACTAAACACGCAAGGAAATGAAAAAGAAAATTTGAAAAAGGAAAGTACCTGAGGTTACTGAGGAATACGGCGTTGAGCCTACGAGCAGGCTCTGTAGATCGAATAATCTTCGCTGGCTGGCGGCGGAAAACAGAGGAACTGAATGGAGATGATGGATGATAAAGTGAAACGAGGGAGACTGCGTTGAATCTCAACTTCAGTTACATATAAACAATGGCTCGATCCTCATTTGTTCGAATTTTACAGGTTTTTAGGGTTTAAAATTAAAAAAAGGGCCGGACCCAATATTTTTAACAGATCAAGACACTGACTTTCATTGTGCAATTAGAGGTGTCAATCGAATTATTTGGATAGGGTTCAAGTTTGAGTTATTTTGTGTCGGATCATTTAAAGTTTAGATTATTTGGTTTAAATATGATTCAGATCAGATTATATTTGGTTCAGCTTAGTTTAGATATGTGAAAATTCAGTCGAATCAAAATCAGATCGATTAGTTTTCAGATCAGGTCAGTATCAGATTGGTTGGTTTCGGTTTAGGCAACCATTAGATTTTCGAGTCAATTTGAATTGATTTTAATTTAGATTTTTGGGTCAACCATTAGATTTCCAAATCAACCGTTGTTATTCTTTGTCGTTATAACTTCCGGCGTCGCTCTTTATTACTTGTAATTCAAAAAAATTTACGTAAATATATATTTTCACATTTTAAATTCATAACTAAAAATTTTAGTTTTAATCATTTAAATCAATAAATCTTTAATCATTTAAAGTTATTTCATAAAATATAGAAATTGTCTTTTAACTAAAAAAAATTATATTGAACTATTAAACTATTACTAGAAGTTATAGTTAATTAATAGTATAATAAAAAATGAAAATAAAACATACATCATCCTACTATTTATCAATGCTGAAAATAGATAACAATAATAATAAATAATTCATTCATTCATTCACTCGGCTGGTTCATTTCAAAAAAAAATATTATTAGGTTAAAATCGGGTTGAAATACGATTTGAATAGGATTTGGATAAATTAAATTCGGGTTGTTATCGGTTTTGATTACTTTTAGTTCAGGTTAATTTTAGTTGGGATTGCTTTCGGTTCTACTAAAATTCAGGTTATTTCGGATTTCAGATAATTTTGGATCATCCTGTTCGAGTCTATATCGAATTTTGAATCAAATAAATCAATTACAGTAATCAGATACGGTACGTGCAATGGCCCAATTTCTGAAGAAAAAAAACTTTTTGGAACAGAGAAATCAAAGTCCCGTTAGGTTCGGCAATTAGTTTGTTTGTTGTATAAATACATCAAACAAAAAGATGGATTGGGTTTTGATTCTTTGCAGCAGCGTCTGTTTCCACTGTCCACCAGGTAAGTTCCATTTTTGTTTTGCAGCTTTTGCTTCCGTCTTATTTCTAGTTTTACTGCTTCAATCCAGTGCCGGAAATGACTAGTTATTTAATATTAAACATTCAATTTAAGCCTTTGTAAGTTGTAATCTTTAGAATTCATTAAACGATTTCAATGATAAATGAAAGTATTATTCTTTCTGAATGTCTTAAGTAATTATGTCTGCAAGGTATGTGTATGTTTATTGTCAATTAATTAAGAAAATTCTAAACATATAATATCGTGTAATCATATTAATAAAAAAAAATTTAACCCTTTAACTAAATGTAAAATTACACTTTTAACCTCTTTTTAAAAATTTTAAGGGATGATTGTACCGTAACACCTCTCGATCCATCCTTATATGTACTCGAGCGTTGGAAGTATGGAGGAGAAAAGCCAAGGCGACATAACCTAAGCTTAATGAAACAATTTAGGAATGTGTTATTCAGTCAAAACAAGACAGGAAGACGTAGGAAAACACTAATGCACAAAGATTCAGCACCCAACTTTTGCATCAGACGAATCCATAGTTCTGCTGTGTAACATTGGAAAGGCAGTTTAAATTCTTGTCTGTAGCTTTAGATTCTTGTTGTTTGGTGAATCCTGAACGAACAAACAACCTTGTTCGTCAGAATTCACGGAACAATGTCTGACTTAAGTTATACCATAAATGTAATTGCAGAATGCAGACAATTGGCAAAGCTGGAAACAAATTGTATATAATAAGTTTTGGTTGCAGGTAGAATATATAGAGTTTTGTATTGTTGTTTTCTGCTCATGTTTGTTGATCATACTTACTTTAGTTTATAAAAGAAAATTGGCAGAGCCGGCCATTGGATTCCCATCATCATTGACAATTGGCAAAGCCGGCATGTATTTTTATGGTAAATTTGAACTATTTGGAGAGCTAAGCAACTCAAGTCATTAATATTTGATGGTTCTGTTCATGCAATTAAACAAAGACAATCAAGGGCCTTAGATTTTCACTGAAAACAACAAAATTGAAGTATTACAACTGGTTTTTCTTTGATTTCAAAATTAGTAAGGTGGCTGAAGAACTTACCTTGGAAGATGAGTTTGCTTGATAATGACTGCAGCTTGGCTTACAAATATGTCTTTACTGTTTTTTATTCCGTGGTTAGTGACAGAAAGACAACAGAAGAGTAAAGTCCTGGGTTTTAGACAAGTTAAATGCAAAACTCCAAATGGGAAGAAGACAGAATAGTAGTGCTATAAAGTAGAGTGATTTGCACAGCAAGCTAGTGCATTGAAGGCCCTCAACAGTCACAACCACCAAGCTTTAAAGAGATAAGCAATTAAAATGAGGATTTGTGAAGGAAAGAAGTCAATGTTCCAAGTCTTTGTTCCTCCTCCCATGTCGAAATTTGCTGTCATAATCTGCCTAGCGTTGATTTTTCCACCTCCAACCTTATCCCTGAAATCGGCAGTCAATGTTTGGCCCAAACCAAGGCTGGTTTCATGGCCAAAACCACTTGCCAGGTTCCTTTCTGCGAACTTTGCCGTCGATTCACCTTACCATCAGCACCTCACACCGGCCGTCAACCGCTACCGAAGCCTCGTCCTGACCGAGCACTACCATCCCCTCATCAACCCTTCTGTCAACGCTTCG